AACTTAAAGTTGAACAACTTGATCAAACTGAACAAGAAAACTAACCAGAACAACTAATTTTTACTCTCATGAACGTCTTTAATGGTCATAAACATGCAAAAACATCATTTCTGCAAGATTTCTCAGCAAGGAATGCTGGGTAAATACTGGTCTGTCTGACATGAGGTGGAAGAGGGCGGGGCTTTTCAGGATACTTCTTTTAACACTGCATGGTGTTATATAACAACACTGTTAAGTGTAACATGAGACTTAACTGTGGGTGGAGCTTATTTAACACTGCCCAGTGTTGAGACAAAACTGAGAAAATCAACACTGTGAATTAACACCAACACTGGGTGTGAGTGTACTCAGAAAGTGTTAAAATAACACTAGGTGGTGTTAAATCAACACCCAAAAGTTTAACACTGAAATGTTAACACTCCTGTTTTTGCTGTGATAGTGGAAACAGGTAATAGAATATGTGGAATAGGGACAAATTATCTGAGCATCTTGACAAGCTAACTTCTCTTTAGTTCCTGTGAAAAACAAGCCGCAGCCCAGCCAGGTAGCACCAGAATCTAGACAACTATTGTCATCTTCTTAAAACAATTGTCCAAGTCCTTTGTTGGCAAGATAGAGTAACAGGATTAGGAAAGTGTTGCTGTAACGGACTGTTTTGACTGATGATCAAAAAACTGCTGGTTAGCTAACTCACAGAAACACTTCGAGCTGGAGGTTGCATTCGCAAATAAGTTTATTCAAACTAGGCCTACAAAAAAATAATTAAAAACATACTAGAACTAATAAAAACTAAACTAAGCTAAAAGCAAGCAGTAAAAATGCAATAATTAATAAAAAAAACTAGCAAATCCACACTAAAAACTAATTAAAACTAACCGAATTAAAAAAGTCACAACTAAATAAAACTAAACTGGAATGAAAAATCCAAAACTATTATAACCTTGCCTAGTACCTATGTTCTCCAGTACCTATATTTTCAAATATACTGTATATCTCCAGTACCTATACTGTATGTTCTTCAATACCTACGTTCTCCATTACCAATTTTCTCCAGTACCTATGTTTCCCAATATCTATGTTCTCCAGAACCTATGTCCCACAGTACAAATATGTTCCCCAGTAGCTATGGTCTCCAGTACCCATGTTCCTCAGTACCTATGTTTTCTAGTATGTTCACTGTATTTATGTTCCCCAGTAGCTATACGTTCTCTAGTACCCATGCCCTCCAGTACCTATGTTCTCCAGTACCAATGTTCTCCAGTACCAATGTTCCCCAGTGCCTTTGTTCTTCAGTATCTATGTTCTCCAGTACATTATATTGTCAAAAGTATTCACTCACTTTCCTTGACTCACATATGAGTTTAAGGTACATCCCATTCCTAATCCACAGGGTTCAATATAATGTTGGTCCACCMTTTGCAGCTAGAACAGCTTCAAGTCTTCTGGGAAGGCTGTCCACATGGTTTAGGAGTGTTTATGAGGATTTTTGACCATTCTTCCAGAAGCGTATTGTGAGGTCACATACTGATGTTGGACAGAAGGCCTGGCTCTCAGTCTCTGCTCTAATTCAGGACTCTGTGCAGGCCAGTCAAGTTCATCCACACCAGACTCTGACATCCACGTCTTTATGGACCTTGCTTTGTGCACTGGTGCACAGTCATTTGGATGGGTGAGCAAATACTTTTGGCAAAWAAGTGGATGTCCTCCATTACCTATGTTCCAAGGCACCTATATTCACCTGTGTACTTCACAACCTATGTTCTCCCCTGGTTAATAATGAGAGTCACAAAACATGCTTAGCTTCCCCTTCAAATAAGTGAAAAGAATACTGACTAATAGTGCAGGCATTGTACCAGGGGGCATAAATACCAGGAAACCTGGGTGTACTGCAAAGGGAACATAGTGATCTGGGGAACATAGGGATGACCCAACAGTGACAGCTCAACCATGTGTTAGCTTTCTTCACAGATAATCAGCAGTTGATAGCTGGACTTACGTCATCAGCAGCAGCAATTCTTAAAACAAAAATATCAGCAGCTGATATGAATAAATGTTCAAAATTAAACACAATTAAACAGAATAAAAAGCAATACATTATACCAAGAGTGGGTTTGTGTCAGAAACAGACAACAGCGGTGTGAATTTTGTGACATTTCAAGAGTGAGAAGTTGTGGCCGATGGTTGTTGAACACATTCATGCACTCACATCATAAACCTTTATTATCTGACCAGTCATGTTGTCTACAAGAGAAAAACGATGCACACTGTAGTAACACAACACAGATGTCCAACATCTTTTTATCTCTCATCTTCTTATATTCTTATGTTAATAACTACATTTTTGAACAAAACATTAGCAAAGCTAAAAAATAAATATGTATTTAAGGAAAGGAAACACGTTTCAATACTTGAGAGAATATCACTCATTGCATTTAATGCAAAAACRCCAAACATTTTATCATGATAAAAGATGGAGGTTTAGCCTTCTCCAAAGCTGTTCCAAATCTTGAAAACTTTATAGACAATTCTGTGCAAACTCTCAGTCATTAGCAGACTAGGTATTGGGATTTACTCTCAGCTACAACTAAATTGTAAATTAACATTTGTGAAACTGTCTGAGTCAGGGGTGTCACTAAGTTTTAAGGACAAGGGGGGCTTAGCCCCCAGGAGATGAACAGAATTTTTGTATATTTCTATATTTGTATTGTGTGTGT